TCAAGTTCAAAGAGGTTTGGAAATAAGAGACACAAAGAAAGAAACATATTAGAGGGACAGTTTACTTAAGGTGTACCCCATTTCCCTTTCCACTAGTCTTTGGATGGCTGTTAGAACACCCATTCTGAGGCCTGAAAGTGCCCCGTTAGCAATTTGCTCCTTTTGCTCTAGGATTAAGCATCACTTTTTCTAGGCTCTATGGGGAATGATGAGGCAGGAAGTTAATGGGAGATGGGGGCTTTGTCCAATTTCTCTCTCACTTTGGGCCTACAGGACCAGTGTATGGAGATCACTGAGGAGTCCAAGGCTCTCCTGGAGGAATACAACAAGACTGTATCCTTTCTGCTCACCCTAATGAATGCCATCCCCAAGCTCTATCCTTTCAGTCACACCTCTAGCTCTCACTCCATTCCATCCCATTCCAACTAACCTATCTATTCCTTGCTCCCCCCACCCACACCCCTTTTGGCAGATGTGAAATCTAAGACTTCTGTTCTCACCTTGACCTATAATTAGACAATGCTTCTCTCTAAGCAGTTCGTGCAGTGGGATGAGCTACTTTGCCAGCTAGAGGCTGCCAAGCAAGTAAAGCCAGCAGAAGAGTGACAGCTACTCCCCGTCCCAGGGCAGGCAGGCTCTTAGGCCCTGTGCCAATCTATCAAGGCAAAGGAAGCTTTGTATTTATTGAATTCAAGGGCTACCTGTCTGCACTCAGTTGGGACTCTGAGGTTAGAGATCCAGTTACCTGGAAATTGTGATTTACAAATCCCCCTCTCAGTGTATTTATTACAGTGACAATAAACTATAGAACTCACTGGAGGAGTGTGCTGGCTTCCTGGTCTACAGTGGACTTGATGGGAATGATGGGGGAGGTAGTAGAGGCCAAACATGTCAACCTGCCTATTGACTGGAATAGGAACTATACTCATAATGGTCTGGCTTTTGGGGAGGGGTACAGCTTTCAAGATGAAGGCTCTCATTTGATGTGATTTATGCATCCATTTATCCCATGTTTACCAAGTTAGATGCCATACCAGATAGGGAAGACAGGTAAGGCCACCTAATCCCTGCAGTGCACAGGGTAGCAAAGGAGACAGTCAAAAGGAAAGTCCTACGAGGTGGGCACAAGGTCCTTTCAGGCACAAAAGAACAAGGGATTGAAGGGGATGCATTCTTTTTTTTTTTTTTTTTTGGTACTGGGGATTGAACTCAGGACCTTGGGCTTGCATGCAGGCACAGTGCCACTGAGCTAAATTCTCGGCCCTGGGGATGCATTCTTGATGGGTGATAATGTGAGGACTTCCAGAGCCAAGGGAACAGTAAATGCAAATCCACAGAGGAGCTTTGACATTTCTCTTGGTGCCATTAGCTGAGAAAGGAAGCCCACGCAGTTTGGATGTAGAAAGTTTGAGGCTCAGGGGAGAAGTTGGGAAGAAAGGGCAGGGGAGAACATGGAGAAAGCAGGGACAAAAATGAGATTAGTGCCGCACTCCAAGTGCTTGCTGCCCCCTTGTAGTCTTAGAGAAGTTTTGGTTCCAGACTTGGAACTGCCAGCTGACCATCCAACCTATGCAGTCTCAATTTATACCTCAAATTCCAGCGTGTCTAAACCTATCTCAAACCTGGCAGTCATCCTGGACTACTTCTCCATCCAGTCACCAACTCTTCACCCAAACTACCTGCTAGTCTCCCAATTTAAATCTTTTCTCCACTCCCACTGCCATTTCTTTGTCTTTTTTTTTTTTTTTTTTTTAAAGCAAAAGACTTATTGGTACATCCCACTGCCGTTTCTGTGGTTCATTAATTCAATGAAACCCTTTAACAAATACTTGCCCAAGCGCCTATTATACATCAGGCCCCGTAGTAAACTCAGGACATGCCCCTGGGCCCCCATGGCCTGGGGGCACTATGAAAATTGGGTGGTGTGAGATACAGTCCTTTCCCAGGGTCCTTTCCCAGGGTCATTAGCGGCCTAAACAACCCCCCACCCCCACCCCCAGCCAGAGTGAGGTGCCCAAAATATGGTTCGACTGGCAGCTGCTGAAAGCTCGGTTTACCAGTATCCACGGATGAGATCGAAACTCAGAATTCGGTATCTAAGTATTTTGCGAAGCAGCAGCAGCCACGCCAAACTGAACCTCTTGCTTGCTCCCATCCACAGTAAAGCCCATCCCTCTTCACCTTTGCTTCTGCAGTCCCTCAACAAAGTAGCTCCTGCTCTCCCATCTTCAGGGCCAAATCCCCATCCTTTTGATGCAAGGCCTCCCCTGATGGCCACCCCTCTCCTCCCCAGGGACCTTCTCTCCCCTTCCATTTTTTCTTTTTTTTTTTGGTACTGGAGATTGAACTCGGGTCCTTGAGCTTGCGCAGTAGGCGGAGAAACCACTGAGCTAAATCCCTGGCCCTTTTTTTTTTTTATCAGCTCAAAAAGCTTTAATGAAGCAGCTGTAGTTACCTCAATCCATTCAAATGGACAAACAAGAAATTTAGAACATACAAAACAATTACTTTTAAATCAGTGTGCTCTTACTGGTCAAGTTGAACCATAATAATCTGTTACAGTTTTAGGGTTATAAGTATAAATAGACTAATCAGAACTTTTTTAGGGGTTAACAATTAGTATCTTTTAGGTGAATCATAATAGAGATATCTTATAAGTTAATACCAATTAGAGTCAGAAGGGGAAGAGAGAAAGTAAGGAGTGTTTAAAGAAGGCTTAGGCTGATGGTTAATTTTGGAATAGATGTGACCACAGTGCAAGTCCCTTGGGACACTCTGTATTAAGAGTTGCTATGGTAAGCTGCTCTTTTGATAGGGGCACAGCCCATGGGGGAAGTAACAGGAAAGTTCCTTCTGAGTCTCAGCATTTCTCCTCTGTAAGAGAGGCTGGGAGGAAAGGGTATCCCATTTATACTGTTGCTCTCTCTTCTTTGCCTCTCCTTGCCCACAACAGGAGAGGGGACCCACTACATAGGCTGGTCGACATTAGTTGCACTATATGTCCACATATTATCCTGGGAGGGTTCACCAAAGGTCTGATCCTCACAGTGGATAGATGGGTTTAGATTGGATAAATTTTGAGGGCCTCCCAGGAGTGACAGCCTCATAAGGATATCCCTTAGCCCAGCCTCCAGGAAAGAGGGACAGTGGTGCCAAGTGGCTGTTGTCTAAAGAAGTAGCAGTCTCTCTTCCAGAATTTGAAGCAAGTGGTTGAGTGAGTTCCAAAATTAGCCTCTACCTCCCAGCACTGGAGGCTATGCCAGAGTAAGGTGAGGCTGGCTAAAATGGCCTGAGGGTCTCTTCCTTAACTTTGACCTTTGTTCTAACAAATTTCTCAGGGAATCCAAGGGATTACTTGCTAGGCATTGGCTGTATGAAAGTTAGGGTGGGGGCTGGACACCAGGGACATCAGGGACTGTGGGAATCCAGAATGTGGGATAGAATCCTAACCTGTTGCCAGTTCAGTAAATCTATCAAGAAATATCTGAAGAAGAGGAGAGTCTGTCATACTAGCAGAGAGAGAAAAGCCAGGACCTGTGGCTCAACCCTTAGTGGAGGCTTATAGAGGGCTCTGACAGAGGCGTCTCAGGTCATCTGGAAAGTGGATACCTGGAGAACACCAAGAGAATTTACCTTCCCCTCAGGCTGGATGTGACAAGGCAAGTGGAGGTTTCTCTGCTGAATACTCAGGTGGGCTACTGGGACATGGTTTCCACCAGAGGACATTTGAGCACCCACTGGGGAGAAGACCTCACCAGAATCTTGCAGCTGTCACACTGACATTTACCAGTTTCTTGCATCCCTAGATCTGTCTCAGAAAGGAATCCAGCTCCCTGCCCGGTCAACATTTCCACTGTCCAAGGGGATTAACAAAGAAAGTGAGGACTGGTTGTTCCACCACTCTTACCCCTCCATAGAAAAATGTGTCCCACGTCAGGTGCCAAAGATGTAGCCTATTTTCTGTTTCTGGGCTCTTGTCCTTTTACTAGGTATGACCTTAACTCCTAAAGACTGAGAGATTCCCAAATCAATGTATTTCACAGAATTCAGGGCTGGTGAATCATCAAGTTGTTGAAGCAAATAATGACATGGTTTTGAGTATGTATTCCATGTTCGTCCATTCCTTTGCCCAAAGTTGTACAAGAACCAGTCACCCTCTAAAAAGGTTACATTATTGGGTGCAAGTGCAGGCATGGTAGCAATGGCTAATGCATTCTTATCATCTGAAATTTCTGTGATCAAGAAGCTGCTGTAACCAGGAATCACCACAGTTTTCTCTATATCTGAGGCTTGAAACAAGGCGTTAACAGATTGTAAATCAAGAGTAAGTTTATAGAAGGGATTTGTAGTTTCTTTTATGACAAGAGAACTAGACAAACAAGACCTCTCGTTTACTTCTATTCCAAAAGGCAGTATCGTTTCTGCAATAACTGAGGACAAAAATTCTTTAGGAGTTTCATGTTGTAGTATCTTTCTTATATATGCTGTTCCAGTTTTAAGTTCGTAGAGGTTTCAGTCCATAATCGGCTGGATCCAAGGCAGGGTGGCAGAGTGACGACAGTTTATGGCGGTGGAAGTCAGCAGAAGCAACAAGGGACCTTAACATCGTCTTTCTACCCCTTTTATTTCGTCCAGACTACCAGGATTAGGGCGGTGCCAAACCAATCACTCACATGGTTTAGTAATCACACACTCTTTTTTTTTTTTTTTTTTTTTTGCTAATGGGGATCGAACTCAGGATCTTGCGCTTTCGAGGCAGGTGTCAGTACCACTCCCTTCTCCCCCGTGGAGTGTCCTTGCCCCCTGGAGTAACCGCGAAGATAGCGGTCGTGGGTCCCCAGCCTGCAAGTCCGGGTTCCTCTCGCTCCGTCTCCCCTCCCTCGAGCCCCGCCCTCACCCAGCGTGCGCGGCCCCGCGACCTCGGCGCGCTTCCGGGCCCGCGCCATCTTGTCTGCGCTTCGAGGGTTGAGCGTGCGCTGGCCACCGCATCGGTGAGCGCTGGGTGACGGCGGGTTGGGGGCGCTCCGAGTTGGGGAGAGGGGACTCCTGCTGCTTGGCAGGGCCTTAGAGAAACGGACCGCGGCAGTGGAGATGGCCGAGCCCGGCTGGAAGTGGCCCGCGCAACCCCGCTCGCGAACTTCTGCTCTTGTTTCTGAAGGACCTGGGTTGATGCAAATCGACCCAGGTAATTTCGGGGCTAGGGTACTCGGCCCTGACCTAGGGGCCTCGGGGGTCGGGTTTATCCTCTGGGAGCTATGGGTAAAGACTTGGCTGTGTCCTGGGGAGCCTGGGGCGAAAGAGCTTGACCCTGGCCTCTGGAGCACAACTCGAGGGTGCCATGGCCCTGTCCTTGGAGATCCCTGGTGAGAAGCACTCAAGGGAGCCTGGGTTGAGGGGCCTGGACCATGGCCCAAGGGGGCTCCCTCCCCTCCTGGGGAGCTTGGGATAATGGGGCCAGGCCCTGTCACAAAAAGCCCAGTATTGGGGGAATTAGGTCCTGTCTCATGGACGCCATTGTTTATGAGGGGATCGTATGGCCCTGTCTAGAGGAACAGGAATGTAAGGGGTAAACGTCTTTCCCCGGGTGAGGGAGGCGTGGCCCCTGTTGTGAGGAGCTAGGGGTGAATGGATGTGATCCTGTTCCTGGGAATGAGAAGCAGGGCCACATCCTGAATGGGGTGGAGGGAGAATGAAGGATAACCTGGGACCCAATGCCTAGTATTCATTTACCTGATACCTTCCCCACAGCAGGCAGTGACTCAGAACTCGGCAAGCAAGATGGAGCACTACCGGAAAGCTGGCTCTGCAGAGCTCCCAGCACCTTCCCCAATGCCTCAGCTACCTCCTGATACCCTGGAGATGCGTGTTCGAGATGGCAGCAAAATTCGAAACCTGCTGGGGCTGGCACTAGGTCGGTTGGAGGCCGGCAGTGCTCGGCATGTGGTGTTCTCAGGTTCTGGCCGAGCTGCAGGGAAAGCTGTCAGCTGTGCTGAGATTGTCAAGCGGCGCATCCCAGGCCTGCACCAGCTCACCAAACTGCATTTCCTGCAGACTGAGGACAGCTGGGTTCCAGCCTCACCTGACACAGGCCTAGACCCCCTCACAGTACGCCGCCATGTGCCTGCAGTGTGGGTACTCCTCAGCCGTGACCCCTTGGACCCCAGTGAGTGTGGTTACCAGCCCCCAGGGGCACCCCCTGGCCTGGGCTCTGTGCCCAACTCCAGCTGTGGCTCCCGACTCCGAAGAAGGCCTCGAGATAATCGGTCCTGAAGACCTCCTGAGCTAAGCTGAATATCTAGGGTGACTGTGCCTTTTCCGGGAGCTGAACATCCCCAACAAAGCCTGGGTCCACAGAACTCCTGCTCCCCTGTAACTCTGGCATACAGGAAGGGACTACAGTACTGTGAAGAATAACAGGTGTGGAGCCTCTGCTGAGTTCTGGATTGCTTGAGAAGGCTTTGGTCTCCCTTCTACATACAGTACATCTGATCTGCCTTCTGACAGGCTTAGGAAAAGAGTTAGGGAATAAAAGTTATACCATTTGTCTGATGAGCCTCTGCTTTGCTGTTGAAAAGAATGGAAGTCCCTGCCTTTGCTTTCTTGGAGTGTATGAATTGGAGACAGGGGAAGGGTAAGCTCAGGCTGGCATTGGGAAAATGGTGTTAAGGAGGCTCAGGGCCAGGGATATAGCCTAGTAGCAGAGTAATTCCTAGCATTCATGAGGTCTAGGATTCAATCCCTAGCACTACACATACATATAATACACAAAAAGCCTCAATCAGTAATGAGAATCTAGGCTCCTGGGTGGCTGTTTGCCACCTAATTTGGGCTGCTTTAGGAATTCTGCCAGGTCATTTTTCCTCAAATGTGGCGTATGTTATAGTAAGATCATTTACTGAGGCACCACACCAGCCTGCCTGGGTTTGAATCCTGGTTCTGCCACTTGGAAGTTACTGTTTTGTAACCATGACAAGTTTCTGCACTGTGCCTTAGTGTTCTCATTTTAATACAATAGTGTTTATTTCAACAGGTGTGGTGGGGTAAGCCTGTAATCTGGGAGGCTGACACAGAAGATCAAATATTCAAGTGCAGGGCCGGGGATTTAGCTCAAGCACAAGGTCCTGAGTTCAATTCCCCATACCAAAAAACCCACAAAAGTTCAAGTGCAGTCTGGGCAATTTAGCAAGACCCTGTCTCAATAAAAAGAAGGCTTGGGGGCCGAGGATTTAGCTCAGTGGTTTCGTGGGACCTGAGTTCGATCCCTGGTACCAAAAAAAAAAAAAAAGGGCTTGGGCTATAGCTCAGTGTGAAGGCCTGGGTTCAATCCCCAGTACCACCAAAAAAAGTGTTTATCTCCTAGAGTTGTTAAGAGAATTAAATGAGAAATATATTTGACAGATACTACCTGGGTACCTAGTGCCGTATATGCTTATTGCCATTATCATAAATGACTCATTTTACAAGTGCTTTTAACTATTTTAAAAACACCTCAGTTGCTAGGCATAGTGGCATGCCTATAATCCCAGCACTCTGGGAGGCTGAGCCAAGAGGATTGCAAATTTGAGCCCAATCAGAAATTTTATCAGACCTTAACTCAGAAAGGGCTACAGATACAGGTAAGTATGAAAGCTTTCTCTAATACTGAAGGGTTGGGGGGTTTCAATCCCACATCTTTCCCTGAGTTTCATCCTTGGCTTTTTACCCCTTGCTGCTCCTTTTCTGCTTCACTTTCGCCCTAGATTCAGATCTACAATGGTGAGATCAAATGCACAAGGGAAGTAAAGGTTGAATCAGTAACCAAGGGCTATCACATTAAAGTAGGTTTGTGGGCAATGGTAGACTCCAACGAGTTTAATCAGTTGGGTCTCCCATGGATCTCCAGGTTTTTTCCAATGTGTCCAACAGCCTGGGTTTCCAGTCATGAGAAAGCATAAAGTTGGAACTCGAGAATTTATATGGGTTTTTTTTGTTGTTATTTTTGGTCTTTTTGAGACAGGGTCTCACTATGTAGTTCAGGCTGGCCTTAAACTCACTTGTGTAATCCAGAGTGGCCTTTAACTCACAGCAATCCTCCTGCCTCAGCTTCTCATGTTCTAGGATTACAGGCATGTGTCACCACACCAAGTTATTGGCATAATAAGGGTTTTAAAGAAGGATGAGGTGATCACAGGGCCCGCAGACTATGGTAAGAACTTTTATTATTTTTCCTCTGGTGCTGGCGATCAAACCCAGGGCCTTGGACATCCTATCCTTTGCTTTCAAGGATAGTTCAGCCCTGAGTGATGTGAAAGACCCTAAGGATAGGTGGGACAGGTGATAAGCACTCAGAGGATGTGGACCTGGAAACTCAGTGACTGCCCCACCAATCCCTTTAAATGCAGAGGGTCATGAAGCATCTCATAAACCCCTGAGGCTAATTATGGCTGCTGTGGTGATTCAGGTGTCTTGCTGCCAGAATGGCTTTACCTCCATTCTCCTTTCCATAGCTCAGGTTGTTTCTTTGTCTACAATTATTTCAATTATTTTAGTTCTTAGGAAAAGATATGTGACTAACATACAGCTTACATATATTATAACTGCATTAACATTGAAAAGGGATAACACAACAGGTTTAGATAATGCATTGTTTTTTTTGTTTGGTTTTGGTTTGCTTTTGGGTTTTTGTTGTTGTTTTTTTTTTTGGTTTTTTGGTTTGGTTTGGTTTTGTTGGTACCAGGGATCGAACTCGGGACCTTGTGCTTGTGAGGCAGGCTCAGTGCCACTGAGCTAAATCCCTGGCCCTTTTCTTGGTTTTTTTGAGATAGGGTCTCCCTTTGTAGTTCAGGCTGGCCCTGAACTCACCATGTAGCCCAGGCTGGCCTTGAACTCACTTCAATCCTCCTGTCTCTGCCTCCTGAGTGCTGGCATTACAGGTGTCCCCCACCATGCCGGGCAGGTTTGCTTTTGTATTTTGAGATAGTCTCACTATGTAGTTCAGGCTGGCTTTGAACTCACTGTGTACCCCAGGCTGGCCTCCATATCATGGCAATCTTGCCTCAGCCTCCTGTGTACTGGGATGATGGATCTGCATCACTATTCCCAGCTTGCACTGGTCTTTTCTTTTTCTCTTTTCTTTTCTTTTCTTTTGAAACAGTGTCTCACTTTGTAGTTCATGCTGCCCTTTAACTCACTATGTAGCCCAGGCTGGCCTCAAACTCCATGATCCTCCTGAGTGCTGGGTATGCACTACCACCCCCAGCTCATTGGTTATTTTCAAGCACCAAAATGATAAGGATCTACACATACAGTTTAAGGCACATCAGCATATTTTAAACTTTTTTTAAAATAAATTTTAGGGGGCCAGGGATTTAGCTCAGTGGTTCCAGTGCCTGCCTTGCAAGCGCAAGGTCCTGAGTTCAATCCCTGGTACAATAAATTAATTAATTAATTAATTAATTTTAGGGCCAGGGATTGAACTCAGTGGTTTCGCCGCCTGCTGCACGAGCGCAAGGACCTGAGTTCAACCCCTGGTACCAAAAAATAAATAAATAAATTTTATCCCATTCCCCCCTGCAAGTCCCCTAGCATATTTTAAACTTTAAGAAAAATAAAGTTTTGGGGTTTTGTTGTTTGGGACAGGCTCTTGCTGTGTAGTTCTTGAACTCACTAGCCCAGGCTGACCTTGAATTTGCAGCAATCCTCCTACCTGGGCCTCCAATGCTGGGATTACAGGCATGGGCCACCATGCCCAAGAAATAAAGTTCTGTATTGCTCACAATTTTTTAAAAAGTCCTTCATATCTACGTATAAACTAGTCATAATTCCTCCCAGATCCATCTTCTATGTCCTACCCATACCCATAGATCCAAGTCTTTTAAGCTGAACCTTGACAATTCCAGACATTTGCAAATTCCAAAACCAAAAAAAAAAAAAATCTATAATTCAGGGATTTTACTTCATCTCAGCTTCTACATACAGCTTTTTCTCTTAACATCTTCACTTGTGTTTTCTTCCATTAATAGTTGTCGTGGGCTGGGGATTTAGCTCAGTGGTTCCATTGCCTGCCTCGAAAGCACAAGGTCCTGAGTTCAATCCCCAGTGCCAAAAAAAACCCAAAACAAAATGAAACAACAACAACAACAACAAAAACAAACAATTGTCGGTATCATAGGTCTCTAGATCTTTGGGGCCAGTTTCTTGCAGACTATTGGTCTTTGATAGCAGCATCCCATCCTGATCCATTCTTTTTTTTTTTGGTAGCAGGGATCGAGCTCAGGACCTTGTGCTTTCAAGGCAGGCGCCTGATCTATTCTATGGCCAGGGCAGAGAAATCACATGGAATAAACATGGAAACTATTAAAGGAGCGATTCAGTAAGGTGGCATTGCTAGGTCCTTGGGCCCCTGGAGGGACTCCTGATTGGGTTGCTTATCATTGAGGCACCACCTGGGGGCCCGAGGATGATAAAAGTGTTATTGTGGAGAGAAATAGCAGCTAAAAGTCCCAGTGGGAAGAAAAAAAAAAATCCCAGTGGGGAAGGGCCAGGGATTTAGCTTAGTGGCACTGTGCCTGCCTTGCAAGCACAAGGTCCTGAGTTCAATCCCTGGTACCACAAAAAATACAAACAAAATCCCACTGGGAAGGCAGGATCTGTATCTCAGAAAATCCAGAAGTAAGCTATAAACTGAAGAAGGGATGGCTAGCAGTTCTGGAACATTTTCTGTTCCCCCTGGCCTCTACAAAGCCCAGCTGAAGCCTGTAGGAGAAATGGCAGGGAGGGAGCCAGAGACGTGAGGCTTTGGAATGAGAGTCTGACCAAGCCTACATGAGAACGCTAGTTGTACATAATTTTTTACTTCCCACTTTCTCCTTAATACACTGTGGTGTGGTTTCTGTTTACATAACTTGTTAGAAAGATTTTACCTTGGCTACAAAAGGAAATGGGGCCAGCCTTTTCAGGAAGTTGGAGAGATGACTCCTTGTCACAGGAAAGATTTGAGGATGGGTATGTATACAGATAGGTGTGGAGAAGCAGGAGTCTAGTTCCACAGCTGAGGGTGGGATCAGGAAACTGGTGGGAAGTATGAGATAGCTGTTATTGGGAAAGGAAGATTCCCAGGCAGGGCTAAAAGCCCAGTGTAGGTAGTTGACTATGAACTTGTGTATTATTAGTAGCGGGTGTGTGAGCTTCAGCAGCATCCACAAAGACAGACAAGGACTCGAAACACACAGTTGCATTTTTCCAGGCAGGTTAAAACAGGCAGGAACAATGAAAGAGTGTGGATATGAGAGTAGCTAGCTGGGTGTTTGGGAGGAAAAGTCACTGAAGGTCAAGTCAAGAAATCAAGAGGCAGGGGCACGGGAAGAACATCCAGATGTGTAATGGAGTTACCTAGGATGGAATGTGTTGACCATTCTAATACCTCCCTTAAGAGGTGGTATGTGTATTTGTTACCCTTGAAATGGGGACTTAAGAATATAATATGCCTGGAAGCACATAGTATATGCTTCCCATATCCAAGCAGACACTAGGTCCTGCCAATTTTGTCTTCCAGGTCTCTGTCCCCACAGCCA